TTGGGTTTTTTATCAAGCCACTGAGCTGAGGAAGACTGACAAAGTTGGACAGAAATCCGGGTAATAATCCTCCTGATCTTTCTACATCAGAAACTTTCATCAACATGTTGTCTTAACACAAGGGGCTCCAAGATTCCTGCATGCAGCTGTCTTTCCTAATCAAGTCTCAATATGTAGACTCCAGTGAAGCAAAGAGATTTTGCTTGTATTGCCATGCAACACTTGGAACATGTAATCATACCAAACAAAAGCCAGAGGAACATCAAAAAGGTATTTCTTGTTTTAGAGTAAAGGGGAAAAGACCACAAAATCAGAGGGGTGCCCAGAGCAAATTTTGGCATATTCTTGAGATGATAATCATCAGGCTACCCTGGCCTTACATGACAGGATGCAGCAAAAGGGAAGCTAATGATTAAGCAATGTGGTTCAATCATTCTCCAAGGAATGTGGTAAAAGCTAGAGAGCTTATTTGTGATTTCATTACCTTGTCGATACCAGGTTTAAAAACCAGACCTCAACATTTTTTCAGGTTATTAAAAACATTCATCAGTCCTTTATCAATACACAGAATGTGAGTATCCACAGGAAAAGACAAGTAACATAAAAAGGGCAACTAAATTCATGCTTCTTAAAGTCAAAGAGCTACACACAAGTAGTCACCCAACAGAAACAGAAAGGCAGTGGCAATTCTTATGCATAGCTTATAGCTCATCCATTTCTAAGAGGAATTTTGCATGTATATTCATACTACCACGGGGTTGAATCAATCTGTGTATCTGAATATTAGGATGGAACAACTCCAGGTTGAAATAAAAGACCAACTCTCCCTTCTAGGTAAAGAGGTGCAACAATACTGATATCCAGTCTTTTTCTGAGAGGTTTCATGCTGCACACTAATTCTGTCTCACCAAACGCCATGAAAGCCAACTAATTAGATCATCACACTCCTTCTACCACATGAACTGCCTTTGTTTGCTTCAGGCCAAGAGCAATCCAGCTGTGATTAAGATTCTGACAATTGCTGCTCTGGAACAAAACCACAGTGTGTTTACGCTGGAAAAAGAGTGCCTTGAGCCTGCCATGGACCAGCTCCACTCCACCAGCAGGAATTTTATCTACAATGCTATAATAAAAAGCATTTCAATCTGATACTTGCTATTGTCTTTCACCACATTCTTTTGCCAAAGACAGGCATGAGTTTGATGAGTCAAGCACCAGTTTCATAAATTTGCCAGTTTTCAGGAAAGCAGCAAGAAGCTCACAGTTCCCTGCTCATCAGCACAAGGTACCACGACTGCCTCATCCCACAGCACGTGCTGCCATGATGTGGGATCTCCTACCTATCACCAACACAAGATGCTGGCAACTGCTGGTAACAGGTATTCACCCACAACTCACATGATGTTTACAACATCTGCAGTTTGATTATCAGAGGAGAGTCCTTTTCCTATATTATCACTTAGCTTCATCAGTGGTGGGTCACCAGAACTTATAAAAGCTCACACCTTTATGAAGAATTTCCATAGAGCATCAAAACACCATGAAATAAACACTTAGCAAAGTATGAGCTATTGCATGGGCCACATAAATAATTTATATTTATTCCTGTAAAACTCAAACCCACTTTATTAATTAACTGAAGCTCCTGGGAAACATTTAGCAATGCCACAGGAAACAGGCATCCAGCTACTGAAATTAAATCCAGTTGGAAAGAGTACAGAGAGTCTTACTTCATGGGGAAAAAAAGCCCATAATATTTGAAGAACTTCACTGAACCGCTTAAATAAGGAGTCACTCATTTGACAGAACTCCTAATTTCTAAAAAACTTCTAAGTGTTGCAGTACTAAGTCAGTAAGTTTTTATGATGACCTGTCAGTCATTCCTGCCACCTCCAGTCTCTCAAGGTAATCCCCAAATCCATTATTAATATCTAGGTAATTTATCTATACAAGGCAGAGGCAAAAATATGGAAGACAGGTAAAAGAGGCATTAAGGTGAGTAGACAGGAAGAGAGCACTCCAGCCACATGACAGCATCTGCAGTACAGCCCTTGGACCCAAAAACTGGCAACCAGAACAGGTTAAGAAACAAGGAAAATGAGAAAGAATTTCTACATAGAGGAGGGAAAAAAAAAGGCTAGGGTTAAAAAAACCAGACACATTCAGTTCAAAGCAGTGGCAGTCTGAATCCCTCCTTTTCTTTCTACTTTCCCCCAGATAACACCCAAAAATTCCTCCAATCAGCAGAAGACAAGGGGAAGCTAATGGTAGTACAGAGAGCATCCTACCTCTGGAAAATCTCCTGCAGGGTTTCCCTAGTGAAGGCGTTGCTGTCCTGGAAGACATTGTTGAGGGCATGGAGGGCGCACAGCTCCCTGCGTTGCTTCTCATGGTAAATATGCTGTGGCGGTAGCTGGGATGGCTCTGGCGATTCCGATTTGGTCTTGTCACCTTTCCATGGCACACAACTCATTTTCTCGATTGGTGGATGGAGAGTAGGTGGTGAAAAATGAAGGAGGCTGAAGTTTCTGCCTCCACAGTCACAACAGCAGCCCACTGCCCCTTTCTTTTGTGGGCTAGCACTGCTTCCAGTTTACAAATCCTCCTCTTGTGCTTCAGTTTATTCAGTAATTGCCTCTGACAGCTGGTTTTAAAAACCACAAGAAGATCTGCAACCTCCCTCCTCCCATACCCCATAAAATGTAGTATTTCCCTCCCCTCCACAGAAAAAAACCAAATTTATATGTCAAAATATACGATTTTCCTTAGTGACAAGGTACCAGCTGGAATTTATCACATCGCTCCTTTTCTTCCATCTCCTTTGGTCTATAGCGCCACTAAAAAAGGTAACCAGACCAGGTAACAAGGAGTGGCCCACCCCCAAATGCCAAAGGGAAGAAGATGAAGCCAGCGCCTGGTACTGCCTATAGGAGCACGGGGTGGTTAAGCACTTAGCAGCTGCATTCCTCCGTTCCTTTGGGAACAACTGAATCCCGGTAGGAAGATGCCAACAGCTCGAGAAAGGAAACCACTTCTTGCTAGGCCACGAGAAACCCAAGTCCAGGCTGCGGGGAAGGCGATTCCTCACAGGTCACCCTGCGCTCCGACAAAGGGAAGTCTCCGTTAGCAACCAGAGGCAGCACAAAGCCCGTGGGAGCGCGGGTAGGGCAGGCGGGACCAGTCCCACGGCCTGCCTCGCACCTTCCCACCCCGCCCCTCCCCACCCTACGCCCTCACAACCACCACCACTACACCAAAACAACAACAACAACAGCAGCGCCCCAGGCGGGAACCACTTCCCACGACCAAGGCCCAGCGACCCCCGCAGCCCACCGCGCTGAGGACAGGCCCCCGTCTAACCCCCACCCAGCCCTTCGGGGTTCGCTGGCGGGCCGAGGCGCCCGCCCTTCCCCTGGGGAGGGTTGGAGGGGCCCTGCCGGGCCGGGCCGGGCCGGGCCGGGCCAGGCCAGGCCGGTCGGGTCCCGCCGCCACCTCCTCACCGCCCGCTCGGCCCCTCGGGCCGCCCCGCGCCGGCGCACGCGCGCGCCGGGCCCCGCTCGCGCCACTCTCGCGCACGCACGCACGCACACACACGCGCGCGCCCCCCCGCCCTCCGCACGCGCCGACGTCAGCCCCGCCCCCTCTGACGTCAGCGGTAAAACGAGCCGGGACACGAGCGAAAGCCGTGTCACCGCCCGCTGAATAAACAAACGTAAATCCTTCCCCGTCTTCGTTCTGTGCCACAGGCTGGCGCTAGTGGCGATGGTGCCACAAGCGTGCGTGTGGCCAGAAGGAGGAGCAGGACAGGCAGCTTTCCCCGCCGCTCTGCAGGGTTCACCTGCTAGTCCGCAGAGCCCTTCAGCCAGAGGGGTTTCCTCCTTGGTGCTGGCGTCCTGCCTGGCGGGCTCGCGTGGCGAGCAGGTGTAGGGGCTTTCTGTTTGGAGCCCGGGCAGGAGGGGCGGCGGGGTCCTTTGCGAACTCCGGGAGCTGGTGGCACGACAGGCCGGGACAGCAGGTCCCGGGAACTGCAGGGACACCAGGCTCGCTCCCACCCTGTTCCATTGGCTGACACACCTATCAGTGAAAAATTTCCTCTCTTTCATTGGCCAGCCCGAGAGAATGCCCACCCACCAGGGGGGGCTCTGCTGCAGCACTTAGTCCCACCCAAACCTATGGGATCCCTTATGCGATTGGCTGTTAAGGTTGTTTGTCACGAAGCCAGCTCTCCTATTGGACAGCTGACCCCGGACACGTCGAGCGGGCTCTGTTGTGTGTGTGTATGTGTAGAAAACAAGCCGAGCTGGCAGTGTTTCTCCCATTGGCTTCGCGCTCTTCGAGGGGGCGTGGCCTCTCCTCATGAATAACCACGACTCCACCCGCTGTCGCCAAGGCAACATGCAAATTTAGCCGCTGCGCCGCCGGTGATTGGCGGGCGCCGCCTTGGCGGGCCCGGGGGCGGTGCCGGGGCGGAGAGCCGGGCAGGGAAGGGAAGATGGCGGCGGCGGAGCGGAGCAGATCCCCGGTTCCTGGGGGGTCCCCGGTGCCGGCCTGTATGTTCGCCCCGGAGCCCGGCTCCCCCGGCGGACGGCCTCGCGTGGCGGCGGCCGCCTGTCCCCTCCGCGCAGCCTTCGACGGCGAGGACGGCGAGGCGCTCAACGGCGAGCCTGAGATCGACCTCACCAGTAAGGTAGGCCCGGCGAGGGGGCGGGCGGCGGCGAGCGCCATCACCCCGCCGGGCCCCCGCTGCTCTCCTCTGTGCCGGCCGGCCGTGCCCGGGGGGCTGCCCACCGAACCTGAGCGCTCCCCGCACCTCAGGAGAGTGAGAGGCTGGGGCCCACCTGCCTCCGCCGGGACGGGAGGCTCCCCCGACCCCAACATCACCTGGGCGGACGGCAGAGCCAGCGGTGCCGTGTGGAGGCGGCCGGGACAGGCTCACTAAAGTTGTCCCGTACCCCGGCCGGGACGGGAGAGTGCTGGCAGGCCGCTCACCCCTGCGCCTTCCCCTCCTCGGCTGCCCGGGGGAACGCCAGCCCCCAGCCGGTGTAGCATCCTCAGGAAGCGCAGGGTTTGGAGCTGTCAGCTGCTGCAACGTCCCGCTGACGTTTGCCCTCCGCGCTGAGTCTCTGTAGTTATCTCTGCTGCCAGTTGTACTAGTTCCTGGGACTTTCTCCACAATCTTGAAAGGAGGTCAGAGCTTGTAACTTTTGAGCCCAGTGACAAGGGTGCCTTGCTCTTGCAAACAGGGTTAAGTCAACGCAGAAAAGGCTTGTTCACCTTGTGCAGCTCCTTTCTGGGATCCCAGTGACAAAACTGTGGCGGTCTTATTTCTGTCAAAACCAGTTCTCGCGTCCATCCTGTAGGAAGGTACATTGTAGTAATGTGTGTGCCAGAGCCTGCCACGGACTACATTAGCTGCCTTCTGTCACTGTCTTCTATTTTTTTCCTAATTGGCTGATCTCTTTAACTGTATACCTTTTGCTGCCACGGATTTGGTGTACTGTGGTGCTGTCTACCACTCTAAAGCCTCCTGAAAGCTTCATTTTGATCCCTTGTAATTATGTGATCCAGAAGTCAGCATAGCTAGTATTTCCTCCTAGTTTTCTGTCATCCCTCCTGTTCGTGCTTCCAGCTTAAGTTGTTCCAGAGTCCTGGACTTTCTTGCCCTCTATGCACAGAGGAAAGGAAAGAGGAATTGTGTCTGTGGACGTGGAAACTTTTTTTTTTTAAATGGGTATTTTACAATGTGGTACTGTATTAAAACAAATGTTATGAAGATGTCTTGTAAGATAGTAAAGAACAGAAATCAAAGCTGTAGTATCTATTGATCGTGCCTTAATGAGGTGGACAAGATTTTTATACAGCATGCCAATATTGATCTGTGCTTTGTCTTGGACGCGACTGCTGTGGAAGAGGGCCAAGGAGGATGCCAAGGACTGCATCTGATTCTTGACAGCCAGGAACCTGACCAAAACTCTGGCAAAGAGACAAGAGTGCTTTTCTCCCACAAACTCCCATTTGTGGTGTCAGTCTGTCTTCCATTCCTAGAAATCTGCGGGTGCTGTGGAGGTGCTAGGTAAGCAGTTTTTTGACCTTTGTTACAATATACTTTTCCATACAGCATTGTGCACCTGCAGTCTTTTTCCTGGACTTTTCATTCATCCTCATCTTGGATGAGAGCTAAAACTGTGAGCTCTGCTCCACCTTTCCAAGTTCATCTCCCACTGTGTGCTTGAAACAACAATCCCTTATGGTGAGAATGCAGTAGCTAACCTGTATCTTCCTGACCCCCCTCCCCATCTTTTCTGTCCTACCACTTGAATTGTTCCACTCCAGTCCCTACTTAAAATTGGGACTCCCACTGCAACCAGTTTGTTTGATAGTTGCTAGTTTTGTCCTGGTCCTTCTGACCCATCCCCTGGCTGTGTTAATACTTTTCTCCCAGTCCTTTCCCTGTGCATAAGGTGAGCTCTTTTTAGAGAGGAACATTTTGGGATTCTGTTACCAAGTGCACCTTGTCAGCTGACCAGGGAAACGGTTCCATTCATCAGCACAAATTCATTATCATGTTGATCTTAATGGGTGTTTTTTTCCCTTCAGTGCCAGCACACTGTAGCAGTAATCAACTTCAGGTTAAAAACCATAGCACACAAGGCTATTAGTGAAGCTGATACTTATATTAGATCTACATTCACAACAAAACACAATAGCACCTGAATAGTGTATGTCTACAGGGCATAGAAAACAAAATATGACATTACAGTAGGTGCCTTTCCCCCAGCTTCTCGATGGCTGGTGGTGACTTTCCAGCCGTGAAAAATGTCAGACTCTGTTTTTCCAATAAAGAGCAGCACTACATACCACACAGTATTTGGTTTGCACTTAGAGTTGGTCTGCCTCATGGAGGCAGGGAAAGCCACCTTTCCCCCAGAGATTGGGAAGGGACTTGAGAGATGGCATTTCAGACTTGTGAGATATGTTTCCTTCTGCTATCTTAAGAATAGAACAATAACTGGTTGTTACTTTTTTGCCCTATAGGAAACCTGAGGTTGCTAGACCAACATGGCTCCTCCTGATAACTGCTCAGTGCCTGACAAAGTGAAAAGAACAAAAGTGAACGTTTTTGACTTTGTGGAAACCTCTTAAACACATGCATTCATAGTGCAGGCATGGAGGGGTTGCTCAAAGGTGGAAAGCAAAAAAAAAAGCAGAGGAGCCAAAATGGAGGGCTTTTCTTCGGCCAAAGAGATGGCAGAGAACAGGCTCTCTCCATCCAGGAAGCTAAAGAGATCTTCGAAACAGCATATCAAGTCTTGCAGGACTTGACCCAGGAAACTGCACAACTGGCTGGGGCTGTGACTTCAGAAATGCTGAGTGGCATTGGAAGGCGTGATCCGTGAAAGCTGCTATTTTACCTACAGATACTTCTCTTGATGTCTTGCTATGTCATATGAGCTATAAGCTTCATCGGCCCTGGAGTAAACTTTGGAGGCAGTCTGCCACTGGAACACTCTTCAGGAGCACCTTTGCATGGCAGTGAAAGCAGCAGTATGAGGGAACAGTGTGGCGAGCTGATGTGAGTGAGCCTCTGCTGTTTGAGGCCCCCGGCCCTCCTGCCTGGACACGTGAGGAAAGCTTTCAAGGAGTTCCTGAGTGCCTTAGTACTTGTTACAGCACCGTGCCTGCTCACACTTCTGAAGTACCTGTACTCAGAAAAACAAAGCTGGTGATGAGACTTGAAGAAGTTGGTGTGCCTAGCACTGGTGGCCCCTGCTATTTTATTGATTTTTATGTGTGTTACAGCCTGTTTAATAGATCTTCCCGAGTCTCTGGCTTGTGCTACTGCACTGGCGTAGAGAGTGAGCTTGTCTGCTGTGCCTCCAGGAATTCCTGAAAGTACTTGCAGGGCAAAATGAGCCCTACAGCTCAAAAACACAGCTTTCCATTCCTGCCCGGATTGAGCCTCGCAACAGTTGCTGATTTCGCTCTCAATGCATTTACACCCAGTGGTTTCCCTCAAGAAGAAAGCGAAACTGAAAGGAAAACAACTGAAAGAAAAACTAATAAAAGCAGCACTAATTCTTTTATAGCCTGAAATAGAAAGACTGTGACCTTGCAGAGTGCTTTGGTACCCTTTGCAGACCATGCCAAGTAGTTGAAAGGCTTAGGTAGGGCATGTGTCCAAAAGGGGCACGTGAAGGTGATTGTATCTCTTGTAGCTGTCTGGCTCTTGCAGACACATCCCTGCTCTCTGGGACCCTTAACGTGTGTGGAAAAAGTTGCTTTGGCAGCCTTAAACCTTCTAACCAGCACGTGCTGTCTGTACCTCAGTGTCCCAGCGTGCATCACTGTGGTTTTGAAAGCTGCTTAAGCATTATTTGTGGAGGGGTTGGGTTCCTTTACATTCTAGATTTCCAAAAAAAGCCCTCATCAAGTGTGTAATAGTGGTAGTAATAGTAGTGGTAAAGGTAGTTTTTCCTTGAAAACATATTGTATCAACTGTGCTAAGCAAGTCAAGCTCTGTTAGAAAATGTTGGGTTGACTTGAGGATGTTATTGTCAACCACTCTAAGCAGTATGTCTTTGGCAAATATCTAATTTAGCACAGCTTTCAGTCTCAGTGCATATTGAAGTGCTTCTTTCTGGGTGTCATTTTGGGACGTGTACGTAGGGACACCTGTGTATGTCACTGAGTGTTGGCACAGGTGTGCCTACCCATAGGGCTCTTGGTGGGTGTCAGCCTTTAATAACTGTTACTAGAAGTGCCTTTTTCACAGAAATGTATATCTCAATTGCTACAGCTATCAGGCTACTGTACTGGGATGCTCAGCCGCCAGCAGATTTGTAGCCATGGAGGCAGCCAGAGAGCAGGTACAGTGGCTGATGGAGGTCTCCTTGGTCTGTCACTGCCATGCCACCATTGTGGCTGCTCTGTGCAAGTGTCTTCAGCTGTGCTGTGTGAGCAGTGCAGGTTTCTGCCAGAAATGGTGCTAGACCATTCTAGGAAAAATCATTCCTGAAGCACTCTCTTGTCCTCATTTTCTACTTTGTTTCTGCTTTATTTTTTCATGCTCTTGATTTTCATGCAGGGAAGGGCAAAGGAAGTTTGATTATTGCAATAGCTGCAGTCAAAGTTTGTTGGTAGCACAGCTGCTGGCCTACAAAACTGCAGTTCTCCACTGCTGAAACCTCCAGATGTGCTTATACAAATTGCTTTGCATGTCTGCCTCTCATCACTGTAGTGTAAAGTACCTAAAAATTGAAAATAATGCTTATTTGTGTTCTCTTCTTTCCTTCTGCCCCCTCAGAAAACAGTAGGGGGCATCAACTATGTGAAAGACTTAGGTGATGCTCTGGATTTTGGTACCCTGCTTTTCTCTGCAGTGGGGTCTGGTTGGCTTTCTCTGACTGTCCAGTGTTGTTTCAGGGGAGCAGCAGCACTCTTTGCAGCAGAGATTGTGGAGTACCCAGTTAAGGAATTTCTGTGGAGAAAATATCTGCTCTCCTTTCTGTTTTCCTTGAATGAAAACATATTGAAGTGTTCACTTAAATATGGCTTTTAAACATTAGTTACATCAAAATGAGATGACTAGTATTCTTACTTGCTTTGAAGTGTATTTTCCTGCATAAATGAACCCTGAGCTCAGACAAACAATCTTATGCGGTGTCACAAGGAAATAGCTGTCAGCAAAACTGGTTTAAAAAACAAAATGAAACCACCAGAAAGCGGTCCTGGAAAAAGAGTCCTTCTCTTGATTGTACTTGTAACTGAAGCTGGTTTTGAAATTGTTTACCTGACATCTGCAAATGGATATTCAATCTTTTTTTCCAGCTGGTGATGGTGAGTCCAACTTCAGAGCAATATGACAGTTTGCTCCAGCAAATGTCAGAGAGGATTGATGAGGGTTGTGGGGAGACCATCTATGTCATTGGACAAGGATCAGGTGAGTATAGCTTCCCCAGAAAAACAACTCAAAAATTTCTAAAATTATAAGAAAAACCTGGTTCATCTAACTAGGCTGCTACTGAAGGCTTCCAGAATAACTTGAAAAATGTCATAAAATATAGAAGAATATGTGGGACAGATTCTTTTATTCCTGCCAACAGGAGCTAAACAAATTATTTTTTTAACAAAATCATGCGAGATCTTTTTTGGAAATAAGGCATATCTTGTCTGAACACACCAGGAAAAGACAATCTAAAATTATAGTAACAGCTTTAGTACAGATGTCCTCAATGTCTGTGAAGGTTCTGTCTGATTTTGTTCACTGCTCTATTGGAATTAACATATTTTTACCCCACAGGAATGCATTATAGATACTTCACATAGCTAAAATATATGCTGCTGACTTTCTGTATTAGTATGTATCTGCTATAGAGGGAAAGGTTTTCCTTTGCTCAGCATGAGACCTTTATTGTTACATTAATTTGTGTTTGACTGCAGTCATTTGCCTTTACAGATTTTAGCAGTTAGCATGGATTACATTTTTGTTCTTTTTGACAATTTTAATATTTGCATCTGATGCTGGTAAAATAATACTGAGCATGCCCTTGCTTTGGAATTGAAATTTCTGAATATAAAATGATTGTCTATGGTTATCATAAGGCAAAAGGCATGTTTCAAGCACACTGGATATCTACTGAGTATGAAGTTGTCATGATCAGACATTTGCTGTATTTGAGGAAAGATATGAAACCCCACCAGGGCTGGCTGAAATAATGGAGAGAAGAAGCTGTATAACCTCAGAACTGTGTGCTTTTTGGGTTTTCTTGGAGTTTTGTGAGGCAGCCAACATAGAGGAGAAGCCAGAAGTAGATGGCCAGTGTTAATGCAGCCAGTGTCAAAAGGATTATGTTCTTGCCTCCAAGTAAGCTTCCCATATGTAGTCTGTATCCTTGGTGTTTGGGATAAGCACATCTGCAGTGGAGATCTAGCCAGTCAGGCTAGTACCTGCTTTCTCTTCTAGGATACCTTGTGAGAACATTAACTGGAGGTTGTTGCAATAATTTACTTAGAAGTAGGCATTTGTTTCTTAAAATATGAGGTTAAACTTCTGACTTGGCTTACAGCATAGTTGAGGAAGATGGGGATATTTTCAACAGGGAAAGGACCTTGGTGTCCCTGACACTGTCACTCCTTCTGATTCCCTGTCAGCATCTGTGATTTTGATCATCCCAGATACCTAACTCAGCTGACTGAGAAGCAATTGAAGACTGCCACAGGAGGATTATTAGTTCACCAGTAGTGACCTTTCCCTTTCTCCCTTAGGTCTTACCCTCTCCTGTTCCCTATTTCTCGTTCACCTCCTATAACCCAAGGCTTGTTTTAGTTTTCCTCAGTCTCAGCCAGCTTATGAGCAAGGTTGGAAATTGCCCAGTAACTCTGCTAGTTTTAGAGCTGGGCAGTAATTAAAATGCTGATAAGTTCATGCAAACTGCAGTTCCTGCTTACCAGCTGATGAGTCAGCCATGCATATGAACATGTACACATGGCAATAACTTTGGTCATCCGGGTGCAGTGTGCCTCTCCACCTTTGTTTGTTGTTCTTTGGGCATTTTTTACCCATAGAGGAGATTCTGGGGTCAAATCTGTGCACATTCACAGCACCTGGATTGAGAAAGAGACAGTGGTGGCTTTGACCCTGTTTAGATGGTTGCCACTGGCATGCTCTGACTCTCAGCTCTTTTGCTTGGGTGAGCTGCTTAGAGGAAGCAGTGCCTCCTTGTTTTTTTCTGGTCTCATGTGCTGTCAGCATTTCTTTCAAGTGCTAGGATGAAGGCAGTGAAACATGCCAAAAACACTGTTTTAACTGGAGGACATGGGGTCTAAAGAAGTCGCTGTGCAGGTCAGACTTGCAGAAAATGTGTATTTGGGGTGTGGTTTTATAAAAAAAGCTGATTGTTTACAGTGGTCCCACATTTAGTGGCTAATTGTGATGATGCTTCACTCAGAGCTTTCCTTTTGTTAAGGCTTTACCTTTTCTTGCAATGTGAGAGGAGATACTTTATCTCACTGAAGGACACAAAGTACCTTCAGCACGGGAAGTAAGGGGATGAGACAGAAATGTGTCTTTCTTGCCAATCCCTAGGTATTTGCTTGTAAAAACTGTGAAGGAAACTCCTGTAGATGAAAGATGGTGTTTTTCTAGTATCTTTTAAGACTTAAGAGTGAAGACCATCCCTTTTTATATTGTGCCAATATATGGCTGACATCTCCAGTGCACATATAAATCCCGATGGGTATGAAGGTCCCAGGCAGGATGACATTGTTGCTGCCTGTTGCAAAGTGGAGCTCACTGACTGCCCTTTGTGTCCTCAACACCACACCAGATGGGACTGAGTACGGGCTGAGTGAGGCAGACATGGAGGCGTCCTATGCCACGTTGAAGAGCATGGCAGAGCAGATCGAGGCAGACGTGATCCTCCTGAGGGAGCACCAGGAGGCCGGGGGCAAGGTGCGCGACTACCTCGTTCGGAAACGTGTGGGTGACAACGACTTCCTGGAGGTCAGGTGAGGAGCTGGGTGGAGACGTGGTTAGTCAGCAGCTCAGCTGCATTTTTACCGTGTGAGCAGTGTGTGATGCTGAGCCAGCAATGCCGCTTCGAGTGTGGGTGTTAGAGCTACCCAACAAAGGGAGTCGAGCTTGACTGCTCCTTGCTGATGAAATTGCCTTTTTGTTGTTGCTGCTGTCTCTTTTGTGAGCAAACTGTTGGTGGAAATTTGCCTACGTTCAGCAGAGGACTGTTGTGTTGCTCTCTGGGTGACAGCCTCACAGTTGGGGGCATCGTTTTTATGTCGAGTTGCCAGAGGGGAGCCACATGTGCACATGTGGCCGTATGTATGTGTATGTATGCACACTGCTGGAACACAATACGTCTGACAAAGGATCCAGTTCTGTTCCAAGACTCTGATGTTCCAAATCACCTTTTAATGGACATATACTAGCTTATATAACATGACTCGAGAGTCTGCCGAGACTAAGATCTAGAGGATTTCCAACATTTGCCAATAGCCATAATAGCCACATTGATCAGAGTCAAAGAAGGAGCTTGGTGTAGGACATGGCTTTCTCCTAAAATGTTTCAGGTTTTCTGGGAATAACAATTTTAATTTTTGTGCTCTACTTAGTGTTTGGTGCTGTTGCAACATGAGAAATGTGAGAAAGGCAGAGGTGTTCTAGACCAAGTTGGGATTTAGTCTTCCTTTTGAATTGCCACAGTGTTTATGTTGGATTGCAGAGACAAGGAGTTGGAATAGAGATGCTCTGTGTGGCATCAAGCAACATCATGTTCAGCTGACTATGTTTTGGACACCAGTGACATGTTTCCACAGTCTTCCACATCACAGACCCCAAAGTCTGGATCTCCACTGTTAGTTAATAACTGTAAAAGAATCTCTTATCTGCTTGTGAAGCTCTAACATTTTTTAATCTCTGTTTGAAGGATAGGGAGCAAAAGCCAGTTATTTGCAGGAGCAGTGATGTTTGGGGTTTTTTGATCACTTGTTCATTTGTTCATGTTTTACCAGGCTCTTTTTTTCCTTTCCCCTGCAGGGTAGCAGTGGTTGGCAATGTGGATGCAGGGAAGAGCACCTTGCTGGGTGTCTTGACTCACGGCGAGTTAGACAATGGCCGGGGCTTTGCTCGGCAAAAGCTCTTCCGCCACAAGCACGAGATTGAGTCAGGCCGCACCAGCAGTGTGGGCAATGACATTCTGGGCTTCGACAGCGAGGGCAATGTGGTGAACAAACCTGACAGCCATGGTGGCAGCTTGGAATGGACAAAGATCTGTGAGAAATCCACCAAGGTCATTACTTTCATTGACCTGGCTGGTCACGAAAAATACCTGAAAACCACCGTCTTTGGCATGACTGGCCACTTGCCTGACTTCTGCATGCTTATGGTAGGTAGCAAGAAGGATGGACCATACCAGCTGGAGTGGGGCTGTTCACAGTTTTAACAGCCTTGACTTCTTTCCTGTTGCAAAGTGCCTGTGGGGTTTTGGAAGGAGGCAGCATCTCACAGTGCAGGAGAGCAGAAGCCTCTGTGGCTGTCTGTCCTTTACTGAGGCAAGTGCCCCAGGACTGTCAGTCCCAGATAGGCCCAAAGTTTGTGATTCTTGAAAATTGAAAGATTTCTGAGTTTTAGAAAACCTGGTTAAAACTGGGGAGGAATGAGTGAGTCCTCTACCAGTGTCCACCAACATCTGAGATGAGCTAGGTCTGGTCATATGGCCCCAGCGGCACATCTACAACCTAATCACAGTCTACTGCTTTTCTGATACAAGGCCTCCTCTGTAATCCAGCTTACTGCAGAAGGAACATTGACATCCCTGTATTTTATATCCCTGGTGTAGGTTGGGAGTAACGCTGGGATTGTTGGAATGACCAAGGAGCACTTAGGCCTGGCGCTTGCACTTAACGTTCCTGTCTTTGTTGTGGTGACCAAGATTGACATGTGCCCTGCCAACATCCTGCAAGGTGAGTCTTACAGACTCTCCAGGGCTGTTTCTTACCTCTCTATGTGTTCTGCTGTCCTCTTCTTGGGTTCAGGAATTACTGCTGGAAGAAAGCTGCTTAATCTGGTTCTGACTGCATCCTATACATCTTCCAGAAACCCATCCTTTTCCCTTGCTCATTTTGCAGGTGGTTGACTTATACTCACCATGTCA